TATAGGTACTATATGCGATATAGGTACTATATGCGACATGACATACAAGACATATTGTGTGTGTTTCAAAAGTGTACACTTCGATGTATGACACAGTATTTATAGAATGACATCAACAAGCATCCATAGGCAAGCATTTTTAAAACAACAAAAACAGACAAGTGCACGTCAAATAGAAAATTTTTTGAATGAATAGCTTTTAAATTTATAACATGAAACCTAACAATGAAAAAAATGAGAAAACTTGTATTGCCATGTATGTACTACAGTGTGTGTACTACAACGAACGTACAACAACATATATATGTACCATACAATGTGCAAGTAGGTGTATCACAATATTATATTCTTCCAAATTTTATTGACTTACCAGTAACTAAGAAGTTAAATAAACTTGTGCTGATTACTTAACGAATAAAAACATGGTTAAAAATCAGGAAGACTGTAATACTAATAATATGTTTCAACTATTTTTACGATTATTTTACAATTATGAAAGAACAGAAATAGAATGAGTTTATTAATAATAAAATAATAAACAAGAATGCAAAATAATTCTGCTTAGGGTTAGGGTTAGGGTCAGTAAGAATTTACATTTAGATGAATGCTGGAGTCCAGCCGGTAGTTAAAAAGCTTAAGGCTGAGGTGTGCAAATTAAAGGTCAAACCAAGCCGCCCTCTTCTGCGTATAAAATTATTTACAAAGTAATTCAATAAAATTAAATAAACTATCTTATAACCAAATTAATTTGTATAACAATCATAATTAGCCTAATAAGTTTTCAAAATCAAAATGTAATTTTTCATTATTGAATTTTTTTGATACACAGTGGCGTTTTAAGGAGAAAGCCTAGGCCATTTCAAAAAGGCGCATTTTTAAGTACTTTCACATAAAAATGCATATTTAAAACTTGACCACTACAAAAAGGTCAGATAAAATATTAACAAACAATTCTTAAAACACGCCCACAAAAAATTTTAAATGTTAATTAAAATTGAGTCGAAAAAAGGCTATCTCGTATGAGAACTCAATCAAAGTAGGAAACTATAGAGATTTAATAATGGTCTTTCGTGTAAGGGTGTCAAGGGGTAGAGTGGAAGATGAAGCATTTTAACAGGGGCGTATTTTGTAACCACTGGCGCACGGTCAGAAAGACGTGAAGATCAATACCTTGTTAGAGCGCTTGTTCTGCGTATCTTCGCCTTAACATGGCGCTCGAACACTATTTACATCCTTCATTCACTGTTTGTTTGTTTGTTTGTTTGTTTGTTTGTTTGTTTGTTTGTTTGTTTGTTTGTTTGTTTGTTTGTTTGTTTGTTTGTTTGTTTGTTTGTTTGTTTGTCTGTCTGTCTGTCTGTCTGTCTGTCTGTCTATCTGTCTGTCTGTCTGTTTGTTTGGTAGCAAAAGATTCGTTGAAATAAAATTTCTATAAAATTAAACAAAATAAAAATTTATTTGGAGAATGATTTTCTTCTGAAACATCTAAAATAGTACAATTAATCAATGCTTTTAATACAAATTAAATAATGTAATTGATTTTTAAATTTTTTAGAAATTTTATTGCGAAAATAGCAATAAAATAAAAAAAATAGATAGAATGCAGGGTATAATTTTATGCGCCTGATGTGGTGCGTGGAGAAGAGGGAAGTGTATTTCATGCAATGTGCTCCCGTTCAATGCAGATTGCTGCTTGCCAACACACATAAATAACACGAACGATCATTCTGTCTGTCAGTGTCTGCCCGTCCGTTTCTGCGTTCGTCTATGTTCGTGTGTATCTGTCTGTCTGTCTATCAGTTTGCCCATTTATGTTTGTCCCTCTTTGTGCCTGCTAGTGCAACTGTCTGTGTTTATAATGAAATATAATAAACAAAAGTGGAAAAAATGTTGCAGTGAGTAGATTCTGAACGGCAGGAAGGATTCAAGTAGGAATATGAAAGTGTTTGTGTGTTTGTATGTGTGTTTGTCTGCGTTTTTGTCTGTGTTTTGTCTATGTATGTATCTGAGTGTCCATCTGCTTGTTTATCGATGGTGTGTTTGTGTTTCTGCCCATGTCTTTGCGTTTGTGTGTGACTGTCTGGTTATGTGTCGTTTGTGTGTTTGTCTATGTACATGTTTGTTGGGTGTTGGTATGTCTTGTTGCTTATTTGCATGTGTCTGACGTAGTAGTGATTTGTTTATTTGTCCGTCTGCTTAAGCACATGAATGTGCGTACGTGTTGGATTTGAGTGAGCCGGACTTTCCATGTTCAAGTGATAGGAAAAACATTTGAGGTGGTTCTTTATAACCCAGACAGATCATGAACTGACCAAATAATTAAAGAGGTTAGCTTTTATATGAAAATAGTTGAACAAAAATAATTGATTGGAATGATGGATACCACAAACTGCTACAAGTTTACAGCACATCAGCATACAGATACACGTTGTAAGCCTACACGTTCCATACAGAAATGTACTTCAATGCAGGGTTGAAATAGGGAACAATGTCATTGAAAAAATTTGTCGAAGGAGAGTTGGGATTTTTATAAATGTTTACAAATATTATGTAACGATTATCCTATTAAAACCAGTATTTTGTAACAAAAACTTTCCAAATGTTACAACAATAAAATTCTAATCAAGACTTTATTCGAAATCTAACTTAAGCCCTATAAAAATGGCCATAGCGAACGCTCCACTCATGGGCACACCTATGGTGGGACATGTTTAATTAAAGATTTTGCGAAATACACACGGATTACAACTGTTTCGTCGAATAAGTTTTATTTAAAGCGTGCAGTTTGTCGTAGTAGGCGTGGCAAGGCCTGCATACATTTCATCGACAACTTAAATTGCGAATTGACAACAAGATCCTTCACGATAATATCTTCCTCCAACAAACACAATCAGTCTGTTTGGCATCAGGAAACTAGAAGTCTGCAAAAAACAACGAATCCAATTCTTTTCAATGACAACAACATAAACATAAACAACAACAACATAAATATAAACAACATAAATATAAACAACATAAACAACAAAAACACAAATACTAAGATAGCAACAACAACATTAACGATAATATTGCGTAAACATCAACATAACATTAACAAAATCACAAAATCATAAGCAACAACTACTTAACATAAACAAGAACAGCACAGCATCAAGTAGCCAACAACTCAGCCATAAATAACCGACTTGTGAATAGATAAATATTTGCATCCATACACACATACACACAAACACACACATACACACACACATACATATATACATACATACATGCATACATACGTATGTATGTATGTATATACGTATACATACATACATACATACATACATACATACATACATACATACATACATACATACATACATACATACATACATACATACGTACGTACGTACGTACGTACGTAGTGAATTGCAGGCTTTTATGGTTGAATTATTGATTGAAATAAATTCTGGTGGGTCATGCCCTGAAAGATGCTGGCATACGACATCAAACATATATGATACACACGTATTTGATTCCATAGATATGTTCAAAAAAATATGATACACGTGTATTTTGTATGATATGTGTGTTCAAAACATACATATTTATGATATTCGATATACCAGTACATATGAGAATATTGATGTGTACATACAGTACTTATGCGAGAGCCGTAGTACAATGCATAAAATCTAGAAGATTGACGCGCAAGTAACATGAAGTGAGGTACACATTCTTACATGAAAAATATTTTAGTATGGCAAACAAACAAAAACTTGAAAAAATGATATAGATGAAACCTATCACCTAAAATTGAAATATAAGGCAAGCATGATTTAAAATGCTTTTAAAACAAGTTAAATGAATTAGGATTTTTTTTTAATTTTTTAAATCCTGCTTTTATAAAGTTTACATTTTTACTCACTCGTAGTGAGTAATTTTGATGAACACCTCAAATTGTTGGACATCGGTTGTACGAATATAATAACACTCATAAGAAAGGATTAAAAGCATTCCTTTCCTAGGGAGCGTGTTAATAATCTGTCGAGTCATTCATGAAGAGGTCTCAAACTGGTGACAATCGATCATCACGTATTTCATTTTGAGTTTATTAATAAATTTACATAATCAATCAATCATAATTTTCATAATAATCATAATTTGTAATTATACAGCGCTTTTAAGAAAATGTAAATGGAAGATGAATTCTGTTTGAAAATCATTTTAATTTAACTCTTAACAGTAGGCTGAAGTTTCATTTGGCCAAACTAACAAACATCAGAAAGACAATAAAACAAAGAAAAAAAAACACAGAGGCGAACAAACCCTGATAAAGAAGTAGATCATGAAGAAAATATTGAATGCCAGGTCGAGCTGCTGGGTCGTGCTGTTTACCCACTTCTCACACGTTTCCACTGAGTCCCTGCGTCATAATAAATATGAGCAGCTGTGTGTGTATGTGTATGTATGTGTGTGTGTGTGTGTATGTGTGTGTGTGTTTATGTGTTTATATATGTTTATGTGTATGTTTGTGTATTTTTTTCAGTCATAAGCCAATTTGTATTCACCCAAAGATATAGCTTACTGGCAATATATAATGAAATAAAGAAGTTGAGTAATCAAAAAAAACTTGGAATCTCAAATTAAAATAGTTTTTAATAAACAAAATCATGTCTATGCATATGTGTAAATGCATCTACTTACTGTGCTGATGCATAAACGTACCTATGTATACATGTATGTATGTGCGTGCGTGTGTGAATGTAAATATGCACATGTATGTGTGTGTGTGGATACACATGTGTGTGTAGATACACATGTGTGTGTGCGTGCCTGAATGTGTGTGTATATGCATTGGCTTGTATGTTGGTTGACGCTGTAAAATATAAGATGAGGAAGGGATTGCCGGGCAGTTGTGCGTGCATGGAATGGATACGCTAAGTAAGGTGGAAGCAATATGCTGATGTGGCCTGCTCTGGTGTATTGATGTATTCTGGTGTATTGATGTGATGATGTGATGTGGTTTGATAATGTAATAATGTAGTTACGTAATGAAGTGGTGCTGTGATTTTGCAATGGTGTGATCTGTTGTGAGTGAGTGGTGATGTGGCAATGTGAATGTGCCGAGATATAATGTGATGTGAGGACATAATGTAATGAGGTGATGCTGGCTAAAGATGATCTGATGTACGTTGATGTATAATAAATAATTTTTTTTTCGATACGTTGCAACAAAGAAATATAAAACGTTGATATATTAACAATAATATATTAAAAAAGTGTAATAAATTCAATTAATTGATGTTATATAACATGTTAAAAATTGATTAAATAAAAAAAAATCGTCATGTTTCGTCATCGTCATCACCACTCTCATTAAATTGTCAGAAAATGACGTCTAACATGTCAAACTAATGTGATTAAATTGTACTATTTCCACGGTAATGAAAATAATAGCCATCTCAACATTGTTAACAACGTTGACTTTAAAATAAATATATACAGTGCAGCCAGAGATGAAGCGATCGTATGTGGCTGCGGTTAATGGAAGTAGCGAGAAAAATATTAAGATCGATGAGGTGTATATATTTACGGTCCTAAAAAATGATGGAGTTACATTCTTTGGAGAAACAGGAAGGTGTAGGTAATGTAATGTTCGTTTGTTTGCTTGTTCGCTCATTCGTTCGTTTATTTGTTCGTTCGTTCGTTTGTTCTTTTCATCCTTTGTCTAGTCAATCGTTCATTTATTTATTTGTTCATTCAATCATTAGCCTGATCTTTTTTTATTCCGCCATTAGTTGATTCTTTCATTCATTCATCTTTCACTCATTCTTTTGTTCATTCACATTTTTTCCATTCGTCCATTCAACTCCACAATAACTGGAGCTGATGATGTATGTTTGCGGTGATTAACTGACATTAAGTGACATTATTGATTTTCTACTGAGCTACTTTAACCTCTCACTCGCAATTTCGTTTATTATTGCGAATGTTTATGGCCATGGGACTACGCACTGAAATCTATTATATTTATATATTTGTTTGTTTTATTCATTCATTCATTCATTCCCGATTTGTTTGTTTCATTTCGACACAATTAAGATCATAATGTGTGGCGTTATTGTTTTATAACGAAATTTTTTTTAATTTAAGAACTTTCATTAAATTTGATGTTAAGATCAAGTTTAGGGTTTAAATTTTCTATTTTAAAATTTTTTTTTCATAAATTATTAATTCAATATTTTTCCATTTTACATTCCAAACAGGTGGAAGCCGGTAAGTGGGTGGTAGGTACTGAATGACAGTGTTTCCTTTGGATGATGTTTTGGATGAAAAATGATCATTAATGTGAAAGGGACATAACTTTTTATAGAACCTTAAAAATTTCTAACAAAAGTTATAGTAAATTTTTATTTTTCAAAATATGTTTTCTCTGGTTTCCAAATTATTAAAAAACGGTTCTTTTGATCACTACTGTGTATGTAAATGTTACAACTAAATATATCCATTTAATAAATAATAATCATTTAAAATAAAAACAAGCAAGAAACAACAGCAGTCTACAAATAATGTTCATATTGCCCATTTAGCCACTAAGAGTTTTCATGAACTCTGCTGGATAGAATACTCAATTATTCATGATGACAAATGTAGGCCTGCCCTTAGACAGATAATTACCAACAAACGAATCATTTAAATTTTTGGCAGGTTATTAACAAATAATTTTTTCACTATATATTCTTTCAATACTTTTTGTTCGCAGTTTAAACAAGTTTGCTTGTTAACATGACGATATACTTGAAACTTAAGTTTTTTAATTTCTAACCCCTATCAATTTATTTAATTGCTTATCTCACTCATTCATTTACACATTATCTAGTTTGTTCACCCATTTACTTGCCCACTTTTCCTATCAATGATGGTGATGACGACTACGATGATGACGACGACGACGATGATGATATGACGTGCTTTAGTGCATACATCCTTGGGTCACAGCTGCAACATTCGTTCAACTTTTAAAATTCAGATAGTCGAATGCGTTTTGGTCTAGTTAGCAGCAGTTGATAAAAATAGAACACTAAATTCATCAACACTTTTTTATTCCAAAACAGCTACAACACCATTGACGCCCTCACGAAACTACCAAAAACAAACAACCACTCCAACGGAACTTCACATCGTCAAATAATTCTTCCACATCATGTACCTCTAAATAATGTTTTCATCAAATTCCCCGACACAGCCATTTTTAAATAACATAGAACAATAAATTTTTTGCTGAAAAATTCTTATTTCTCAAGCTTAATGTATTTACATCTGAATTTTTTCAAATATTGAAAAATTTTGTGAAAAATTTTTTGATGAAATATAAAAAATCGTACAAACATAACAGGCAGATTTGTGTTGCACTGATAAGAACAAATAACAGTTCAATTGAAAGTTAACGATTAAATCACAAATCAACTTTTTAAAGCACGTCATCACTAAAAAATGCATCCCAACTTGTTGACAAACTGATTTTTCAAATTGTTCATTTGGCTGTATGTCAGATTTAAGTTGAATGCACGAGGGTGTATGCAATGGTGTGTTGTACGAATGAATTGTATGTTGCACGAATGAATTGTATGTTGCACGAATGAATTGTTTGTTGCACGAATGAATTGTATGTTGCACGAATGAATTGTATGTTGCACGAATGAATTGTATGCTGCACGAATGAATTGTATGTTGCACGAATGAATTGTATGTTGTACGAATGAATTGTATGTTGTACGAATGAATTGTATGTTGTACAAATGAATTGTATGTTGTACGAATGAATTGTATGTTGTACGAATGAATTGTATGTTGCGCGAATGAATTGTATCTTGTACAAATAAATTGTCGGTTGCACGAATGAATTGTATGTTGCACCAATAAATTGTATGTTTCGCGTACAAACACTTAACTACATCTTGCATGGACCAACCGATCTTCCCAAAGCAACAACTACCGTGTATAAACTGCAAAACAAACATGCATCTCTTTGACGTTCACATTTCTCCAAACAAAAATAGGAATTTTATTTGGGAATGAAATGTTAGTGAAGCTTTCAAAAATTTTCAGTTAAAACAACTCTATTGCCCACAATATTTTTCAGAGTGGCCAAATAAAAATTATCATTAGAAATTTATTTAAATTCAATACTTGACGCTTCAGTTGTTTGCTGGCTCGCTTTATAAATGACATCATCAATATTGCTATCGCGAGAAAAATTCTAATTTGAAAAAAAGAGCAAATAATTTATGAAAGCATGATATTTTGAATCTACAAAAATAGGAAATGAGATTTTATCAGCAGGGATATTGTCAAGTTATTTCATTGGATATTTTCAATAAAATCTCATAATTATACATGTGTGTGCGCGCGCTTATGAATGTGTAGTGTATGCTTATGAATGTGTATGAGTGAGTGTATATTAATCAAATGTGTATTCTAAAAATTGTCTGAATGCCCAAAAGACAGTATTTAAGAACAAATTTCAATTAATGAATATCTAAATCAAACTGCTAACATAGTGTGAATTGGCAATGTAAGTTTATTGACGGCCATTTAAAAGAATAAAAATCGTGAAAATATTTTTAAACCAATTTCTTACTTTACGTTTTTACTTTCTTGAAATAAAAATACTTTACAGAAGTTGTAACCTATCTAGCTTCACCGACATGTGATCTAGTTTATCTTTTCACTGCGAACAACTAAAATGACGGAAGCGTGGAATAGTTTCCAAATGGCAGTCGTTTAAAAAGCTATTCCGTTAAAATTAAAAAGAATGACATGTAAATTCTTTTAAAATTTTCTCTTAAGCAGCATAACATTTGTTTATTTATAATTTTATTTTGTAACAATATTAAATTGGAATTTTTAGCAAACACAATAACAAAATTAGTAATAGTTAACAAGCAAAATCAATATAAGTAAATTAACAAGCAAGGGAAGCAGCAGAAGTAGAAGCAGTTAAATTAACACTGCAACAGATGTAGCAGCAGTTGTATTAACCACTACTGCAGATGTAGTATCAGTATCAGCTGCAAAGTTATTAGTAGAAGTAGCTTTAAAAAAATAACAGCAATGACGCTGGAGTGGTAATAGCAGCAGCGTTAGTAACAGCATTAACAACTGACAGCAGTGTCAGGTTAAAAAAGGCGAAGTCATTTGGCTAGCTAACAAGAGCAATTGGAAGCGACACGACGAAAAGGTTTAGGGGATACATTTGCATCGAGGTATTTTGAATGAGTACTTGTAAGAGAACTAACTGGCGGTTTGTTAACAGCTAACAAAATATTTCATTTTCATTAGTTGGGTAACGTGAAACGACAGTTTTGACAGTTCAGTCCCACAGATTTTTATTTCATTTTAAACCAAAATTATTGAACATT